TATTGGTTCATAAATCAGTGTGAAATTATTTAAAATATCAAACTAGGTAATTTGGTTATGAGTTCTAGCTAGAGCATGAGGTTCTCGAGGCCTGAAACAGTAAGATGTTAGGCTTTTATTTTTTAAGTCTTCACTGTGGGCTAGTTTTGACTCCATAGGGTAAGATTACTAGAATTCTAGTTCAGGACATATGGATCTGTAGCTGAGCATGGAAGAAGCAGCAGCTTCTTTCTCTCAAATATTGATGTACCTTGATACTACGAAAGTCAAGAAATAAGTCAAGGGCTGCTAAAGTACTGAAATATTAGTAAATGTAATACATAACTCTTTCTACTAAGACACCTTGAGTAATTCAGACTGCTGCTATTAACATGCTAATAGCATTAGTAAAAGCTTGCAATTGGTTTTGCACCCATCGCTGCCAGAATCATGAGGGTTTGTGATTAGAGTACCCTGTGCGTTCACCCAGTGGCTCAAGTTGGAACAGCCTTTTCATGCATTTAGATCCACTGAAAGTAGCACTGTACAACACACTGAAATGGTTGAAATATTGCTTAATTTTCTGCCATTTGTTAATTTAATTGAATTTATTAAATATTTTGTCCTGCTTGTGGAAAGTGCAGTGTTTGCTGCTTGATATACAAAAAAGGCTTTTTATAACTCAAGGAAAATAAAGTTGAGGTGGCAAGTTTTGCCCAGTGGTGTCAGGAGTGGAAAGTATGGACGTGGCTGCCTAATGTAGGGCTGTGAATTTTCTTCTGTGTATTACCATTATGTTTTTATATTGGGAGTGGGTGACATGTTATTAATGGATGTTACCTGCACAGTTAACTATTGAAGTATCCTCAGTGCTTGTGATTTTTCTCATAAAGGCCATGTTACAAACGAATTAGAGTTAATATTTTCAGAGGTAGACTCACAATTTCTCAAATGTAGGAGAGTGGAGGGCCTGGGAATCTGGGCTAGTAGAACTTGTACTATGCATTGTCCCATGTTGGCCTACGTTACTTGTCATGAAA